TGCAATCTCACCTCCTGGGTTCAAGCGATTCTCCTTCCTCAGCTTCCCAAGTAGCTGGGATTACAGGCATGTGCCACCACACCCAGCTACTTTTGTATTTTTAGTAGAGACAGAGTTTCTCCATGTTGGTCAGGCTGGTCTTGAACTCCTGACCTCAGGTGATACCCCTGCCTCAGCCTCCCAAAGTTCTGGGATTACAGGCATGAGCCACCACACCTGGCCAAAAAATATAAGTTTTGTGGGTTTTTTTGAAATGGAGTCTCACTTTGTCACCCAGGCTGGAGTGCAATGGCATGATAATGGCTCACTGCAGCCTTGACCTCCTGGGCTCAAGAGATCTGCTCACCTCCGCCTCGCAAGTAGCTGAGACAACAGGCTCATGACACTACACCGAGCTAATTTTTTTGTATTTTTGGTAGAGATGTGGTTTCACCATGTTTCCCAGGCTGGTCTCAACCTTCTGAGCTCAAGCAGTTTGCCCTCTGTGGCCTCCCAAAGTGCTGGGATTATAGGCATGAGCCACCACACCCAGGCAGATATGTTTTTTATACTTTGATTTATAATACAATATTACTTTATTTTATTGTTTATATTGTTTGTTCTAGCTATGAAAAAGTCTGGCAACTTCTCAGAAGGTTAAACATAGTTACCCTATGACCCAGAAATTCCACTGGTAGGTGTATACCAAGAGAAATGAAAATATGTGTCCAAAGACTCATACACAAATGTTCATAGCAAAGTTATTCATATAACCCAAAATGGAAACAACCCTAATGCCTGTCAACCGATGAATGGGTAAGCAAAATGTGGTATTTCCATTCAATGGAATACTATTTGGCCATTAAAAGGAATGAAGTACTGACACATGCTATAACATGGATAAACCTTGAAAACATGGTGAGTGAAAGATGCCAGTCACAAGGGCCCACATACGGCTGACCCCATGTATCTTAAACATTCAGAAAAGGCCACTCTATAAGAGACAGAAATGAGAGCAGTGGTTGCCCAGGGATTAGTGCTGTAGGGGGGCAGGTATTGGGAGGAAATGGAAGGATTGGCTGGGGGCAGTGGGAATGTGGAGCTAACGGGCGTGGACTTTCCTTTCGGAGGGATGAAAATATTCCATAATTGATTGTGGTCATGGTGGCAGAACTCAGTGAATACCGTGAATATACTACAAACGACTGCATTGTGCACTTTTGGTAAGCTATAGTATTTGAATTGTATCTTAATAAACCTGATGCACATAATATTTACTTTGGTAATCTAAGGAGACCCTAAAAAGACAGGTATTTGTGCTCCAGAATACCTGCAATTCACTTAGAGATCTGTGTGGCTGCCGTATGTATTAAGATGTTGAGGACAGAGAAACCTGGTTTCAAATATGAGCCCCCAAAAACCATCAGAGCAATCACCTCAGTTTGCTGGCATTGATTTGTATTACATGTAGGCAAGTCCATGTGGCTTTACGATCAGTAGCTGTGTGGATACATTTCTTTATTGAAGAGCAATGATTTTCATAAGCAATGCTGGGCATGAAGGCAACTAATGCAAATTAAAACTCAAGGGTTCCCTAACTCATTGAATGGCATGTCATTCTTCTAGTTGCCAAGCCAGACATCTAGGAGTTATCCTCAGCACCTCCCTCACTCCCACTTCTAATCTATCAATTTGACCTCCCAAGTGTCCTTCAAATTCATCTACTTCCTCCTGTCTTTCACCGTCAGTAACCTAGTTCAAGTTGTCTCCTTTTATCTCAGTTACTTTAGTGATCTCAGGAACCTTTTAACTGGTCTCGCATCTACTCTTGCTTCCTTCCTTCCCTTATTTGCCCAGCAACCAAGGTGATCTTTTACATTTTTGAGTATTCATGACCTTTTGAAATCCTCTTTAGTAGTTTCCCGTTGCTTTTAAAGACCAAACTCCTGAATGTGGTCTACAAGGCCCTGCTAACCTATCTGCCCTCATCTTCAGTCACTCTTTCCCTCACACTCTGCACTGTCAGCCACACTTTTCAAGACCACAAATTACCACCTTCTAGGCAAATATGATGGTCTCTTTTCTCTGGCCTTCATTATTGACCACTACCTCCTTATTGAAATTCTCTTCCTTTGTCCTTTATTTTCTTGCCACTCCTCTGCGTTCTTTTCCCTCTTACCACCCAACTATGAACATTTCCAATATTCTCTGCTCTTTGCTATTCTGTATTCCATACTCTGTCCTTTAAGTGAATTGATACACTTTATTACCTGAGTTCCAGTCTATATCTGCAACAGCCTGCTTACCTCCAGAGTTACCTCAAGCCAACATGTTTAAAATAGAACTTATTGTTACCTTTATTCCTTATCCCCAGAAATTTTTCTTTCAATGATACCAGCATTCTTTCACCCATTCAAACTGCATACCTTAGAGCCATTTTCACTTGACCTTTCATTCCCCTTATCAAATCAGTTACCAAGTTATATTGATTCTTTCTTCAAATGATTCTTACATCTTTTCATCTCCATTGTTACTATTTTCATTCTGACCCTCATCACTTCATTCTTAGACTCACACAACTCCCTTTAAACAAGTCTCCCTGTCTGTGTTTTCCCACACTCAGGTCTGTTCTAAACACCACTGGCATTTCTATCTCATTAAAACTACACTTTTATCGTATCACTCTCTTTCTCCAAAAGTTTCATTGCCTTCCCATTGCCAGGAGGATAAATTTCAAAGTCTGAAGCCTGTAATGCAAAAACCCTTAACACTCCAGCTCACAAGATGTTAGCAAACATTCCACATACCCTGGATTAGACAAAGTTCCATGGTTTCTTTACTGTAAAACTTCCTTAAACTTTCGGTGAACTAATGTGCATTATAATGCTCCAAAATGGTGATATATAGAATGCAGCATTTCCAAAATGTATTTGACTAAAGAACTCTATTTTCATAGACCATCTGTTAACATTTCTCATGACACTAGTGTTCTGAGGAAGAATATTGAGGAAAGGCTCAGGAAGCCCCATCCTACATTTCCAGTCTTATTTCCCATTAACTCCTCTATATAAATTGTCTGCTTAGGCCAAACAACTCTTGGTCTTCCTAAGCCATGCTTGTTCTCAAGTACAATCCAAGTCTTCATTTATTCTGTTCTGCCCATATGGAATGCCCTTCTCTTTCTCTGAATATCTATATTTTTCTTTTTATTGAGATTTAGTTCATATATCATAAAACTCACCACTTTAAGGTATACAGCTCAGTGGGTTTTAGTATATTCACAAGATTGTGCAACCATCACCATTATTTAATTCTAGAACATTTTCATCATCTCCAAAAGAAACTCTATACCCATTAGCAATCCCTCCCCATACCTCCCTTCCGCAGCCCCTGGCAACCACAAATCTCCTTTCTGTCTCTATGGCTTTGCCTATTCTGGACATTTCATATAATCTAGATCCTACTCATCTACCCTAAGATCATGTATGTTTGTTCAGTCATTTTTTTCATTCATAACATTAAGATCACAACACTCATACCCTGTATCAGACACTGGCCAAGCTATGAACATACAAAGGCAAATGCCATTTTACCTTCAGGGGGCTCCCTGCCTAGTGGGGGAGACAGGCAGTAGAGTGTTCAAAGTACTATTATGGTGCTGTGAACAAAGTGCCAGAGGGGCCAAGAGGTTTGAGCAAGAAATTATAGAGAGCCAGGGAAATCCTCACTGAGGAGGTGGCATCTGACTGGATATTGATTTATTTGTTCGTTCATTCATTCATTCAGCAAACATCTGTTGTGCCTCTCTTATGTTCCAGTCACAGTGCGGGACTCTGAAGAGACAAAAATGCACAAGAAAAGTTCCCTGTTCCTCAAGGAACTCAGTAGTCTGGAGGAGATAAATATATAGCATTTCAAAACAGTATGATATGTTATATAGAGGAAGGGGAAGCTCACTGTGGGAACAGACAACTAACTCTGCTTGTGAATTTGAAGAAAAAGTAGAAGTCTGTGAAGTGGACAAGGATGAGGGGTAGTGTTTCAGGCAGAGACTAGACTGCCTCTGACTGTGATATCCTAGTGCTCATTTCTTTTCCTGAACAAGACCACCTAATGTTTGTGTCTCTTAATCACAAAACTTGTCAAGTCATCTTTACATGTGGATGCCTCGTGTCCCCAAAAGCATTGCACAACCTTTAGGATAAAAGCTTTGTCTTTTCCCTCTTAGTGCCCTCATTATCACAGTGTTTTATGTATGATCATTTCTTCTTGGATCCAAATGAATGAAAGGATGACAGCTGAGACAGCATCCTCGACACTTGCTAAAAGCTGCTGCCCAATGTGTCTCCTATCACGTTTCTCCCTTCTGGGGCTTTAACATGAATGCTTTGTGTTCCATCTCTTATACAAGAACCGAGAAAGTAGCTTCTTAGACTGATACTTTTCACTATTGCAAACTATTGTGAAGAAGCAAATATAATCTCGTGATTAGTCATGTTAAAGATCACTGATAAGGCTAAGGGGCCATCTTAGAAATATGTGCTGTCTTCATAGTTAGGGAGATATTGTTAACTCTGAAGATGAATATAATTTCTTCTCCAAATACGGACTAATTCTGGTAACAGAAATTAAGAAATTCAGTAAAACTGCTTCTTGACAACCTTCTCCACAAAGTAGAGGTAGATATTAAGGAAGTAATTGACTGAAGACAGAATCAAGGGAAGCCCCAAACAGGACACAGGTTTTTCTCCTGCTTCAGGGAGACTAGGAATCTATCTAATTCTTTCCTTCAGTCAGAGGGGACCTAGGTTTTTGTCTCTTCATGAGATCTTGCTATGGAACATTCTACAGATGACAGATCTTCAAGGTGCTCTCCTCCTATGCTTTCTAGGAGGACAGACCTTCCTAAATGTCAGAAGAGCTCACATTGTTTAGTAATAATGGGACATAGTGTGGATACAGGCAGTGCTACAATGAACTGTGACAGTAATAACTGCAAAATTTCTGTCCTTGGATTTCAGAAAGACTACCCAGAAATGGAGATTCTCTGGCTGATGATCAAGTCCTGGAATACTGGAGTACTTATGTTTAGCAAGAGCAAGTATGTATCTGCTGAAAAGTGGTGTGGTCTGGCCTTGCGTTTTCTTGACCACCTTACCTCCTTCAAGGGAAGCTATGAAACTCAGGTGAGGAGGGAGAGGGCTAGGGTGGATGACATGACCTGGGGGCAAAAGGTTACCGCTGGGCTCTCCACGAGGACTCAACCCCATCCACCTTGGCTAGGAGCAAAAACCAAGAAGGACAGAGTACAGGGGGAAACATAAGGATAGCAAATAGAATCTAATTAAGAGGAATGCCAAGAGTGAGCTCTGGAAAGACGCATCACTGTCAGTGCCAGTGCATGTCGGGGGGAAGGACTGGCCTCTGCTCAAAGCAATGACTGTTGAAAAAGGCGTTTTTTCCAGGAACTATATTCTCAGTTGCAGACTTCTGGGCCATTGGCTAACCAGGAGAGGTTTGATGGAGAAAAAGCCTTGCTACAAAATAAGAGCAAAGGATCTTTTATATTTAAGTATCTTCTCCCTTATAATAGAGGATTCCTTGTCCTCAAGACTAATTTTTCCTCAAGAGAGGACTGTATGTTCTCCCCAAATCTGAGATCCCTTAGATCTCTGAAGGTAAGGGTTAGCTTTCCTGCCATCACCGTGGATCTGGGAAGCTTTCCCACATTTCCTTTTCCCTTCAAGAAATCTGTTTGTTGTTCTCTTTTCCAGATGAATATGCTATATAGTCAGCTTGTGGAGGCACTGAACAGCAACAAGGGCCCAGTGTTTCATGAACATGGCTACTGGAGCAAGACAGATTAGGCAAGCTCATGGCCACATGAAGTATATTGTTCTCAGATGCTGACTGTTTAAATTTTTGCCAGAGTTTCTCTTGAACTTTTGTTTCTGTTTTCTCAGACCCTGTTTTCATGTTGTTGAATAAACTTTAAGTGAAGCATACTGAATTTACCTTGGTGACCAGATCATTTCTGGGGCACAAATGAATTTTCCAAAGTGCTAAGGATGATAGTGAAATAGACCATGTGAGAGCAAGATGGTTTATACTCCATGTGAACAAAAGAGAATGTTCATCTCAGCCCAACACAGGATCCATTTTATTCCCAAAGTGCTCAAATTCCCAATCCCTGAAAATAGCAAAGAATCCTAGACTCTTCTTTGGAAGGATCTTAGTGGTCACCAGGGCCAGCATTTATCTGATTCATGAAATCTCTCTCTAACATCCTTGAGAATCTGTTGCCCAGTTTCTAATAGAACTTATCCCAGGCCAGTCATGGTGGCTCATGCCTGTAATCCTAGCAATTTGGGAGGCCAAGGTGGGCAGATCACTTGAGGCCAGGGGTTCAAGAGCAGCCTGGCCAACGTAG